GAGAGACAGCGCGGCGAAACACGACTCTTCGGGAATCGCTCGAGAGGGCCAGGCAGCACGGCAGCGCGGCAGTGCCCACCTGGCTTCCATCCCATCTCATTCAACTTGCCGCGGCACTCGACGCACGCCCTCGTCTATCTCATTTATTTCTTTTTCCTCCTCTCTCTCTCTCTCCCTCTCAAATTTGCGCTCTCTTTTCTCTTTCCTTCTCTCTCTCTCTCTCTCTGCGCTTTGCATGTGCGTCCCCTCGCAAAGCGCAGTGTGGGCGATCGCCGCGTGCAGCATCAGCACCGCGGTGTGCGGTGTAGTGACGAGAAAAAGGAAGGGTCCGGACGAAGGACGAACGCAGGATGAGAGAGAGAGAGAGAGAGAGAGAGAGAGAGAGAGAGAGAGAGAGAGAGAGAGGGAGAGAGAGAGAGACGTGAAGCGGATGACTGTCGAAAGAGGAGCCCTGGAAGACACAAGGACGGCCATAGGCAGGCAGGCAGGCGCTGCGGGGAAAATGAACGAAACGAAAAAACAACAGGGCTAAAGACTTGTGGTGAAACTTGCGGGGACCTGCAGCCTTTGTCAGGACCAGTCAATTACGCTTACCCTTCCTGGAAAAATAATTAGACAGGGACGTCACCGAGGGGTGGGGGAAAAGGAGGGGGGCACTGACGACGCCCCGGGGCACGTCACTAGCGAGGCATGCAGCTTGCAGGAGCTCGACCCCCGAGGGAGGCCCGCCTGCCCCGCCTGCCCCGCCTGCCTCGCCTGCGCTGCGAGCCGAGTACCCGAACACTGCCTTATTCATAATGCAGTCCCATTTTCAGGGCCGGGCCCGCCGGGCCTCATGGACCAATAACCCGTATGCACCCCTCGCGGCCCAACTAGCCTCGCGCCGGGCCCGTAATTCGCGGCCTAACCTAGCCTCGCGTCGGGCCGCCCTCGCGTGACTCATTTGGCCCCGATTAACCCACACGAGCCCCTAATTGCGACCCCTTTTGTGCCCTCATTTGGAGCCCATTCGGGGAGCTGTGGGGCACGCCGGGGCACGCCGGGGCACGCCGGGGCACGCCGGGGCACGCCGGGGCACTGCGATGGCATGAGGTGGGGCACGGCGAGGCACGGCGGGGGCGGGCGTGGACCTCCTCGGCCTTCCCCGACAAGAAAGGGGCCCCGGAGGGAGCCGGGCGGAGCGGCCCGTTAAATATGCAGAGGCAATCGATTTCGGTCGGCGTGCTCCTATCATCAGCCGAGCGATTCTGAAGAGTCGTTTCGTCGCGCTGTCTCTCTCGCATCCGTCCGGGACGCCCCGCGGGTGCGAGAGAGACAGCGCGACAAAACGACTCTTCAGAATCGCTTGCCGGCGCCGCACCGCCCGCCGCCCGCCGCGCTGCGGAGCGGAGCGCCTGCGAGGTGGGCCGGCAGTGCGCAGCCCTGCGTTGCGGGCTGGCCTACCCTGGAGCTCACAGGCGCCCGCCTTGGCGCCCGCAGCCCCGAAGCGCGCTGCTCGTGTGGCCCCTGGACCCGCCCCTGGACCCGCCCCTGGACCCGCCCCTGCGCCGAGCGAGGCCCCGCCGAGGCCCTGGGCCACGCAGCCCTGCGAGGCACGCAGGCAGGCAGGCAGATTGCCAACTTCACAATCTCCCCCGCGGTAAGCGCGGCTGGGGCTGCGAGTGTTAATAGGCTGTAACTTTGGTTTTAACATCGACCCCTGAATATTGCGGCCGCCGCTTATGCCTTGTTGCGTCCGCACTCCCTCGGCGCTGCCCTGCGTGGACGACCGCGCTGCAACACTGCCAAAATTTGGGATTGTCACTTGATGGCAATAAATCCACGGCCAAATTTTCCTGACAAGAGTGTCGTGAAAGCAGTCGCCCCCCTTCCCTCCCGTCCACCGCGTTGCGTCACCGACCTCTCCGTCTCACACACGTCGTCTAGGCGCAGCGGAGGGAAGTGAAAGGAGGCACGGCAAAAAAAAAACACACAGAAACAACACGTTAAAACAGAGAGAGAAAAGGAACCTTAAAACTGGCCTCCGGCGCGCTTCGTTTTTCACTCGGCGTGGCGTGGGGGGAAACTCAGGGAACGAAATTAGCACTCCATTTTCGCCGAGAGGTGAGGAGACGACGGCGCGCGTTGCTGCCGCCGCTGCTTGATGCTGCTTGCAGCTGCCGGATCATATTCCTTTCCCTTTTTCTGTTTCCGTCTGGGACGACACAAAACCTGCCCAGTGCGCCGTCTCATTTTGACGCCCGAGGCCTCCCAGGAGGAGGACGACGGGGCGGGGCGGGGATTCAGGCACAAATATATACGTGCAAGCCAGAATGCGTATTGTTGCGCGCCTATAGCTCTGTGTGTGTGTGCGCGCGTGTGTGTGTGCGCGCGTGTGTGTGTGCGTGTCCCATCCCCCTCCCCCCTGCCTGCGCCTGCCAACCTCCCTTGCAACAGACGCGACACGAACAATGCGATAAGTTTTCCTCTTAAAAGTTTGGCCTCCACGGGGCATTGTGTGTGCTCACGGCCAGGGCGGCCAGGGCCCAGTCTCGCTGGCTGGCTTGGCTGGGTGGCGGTCAGCCCCGCCGGCCGCGCGCCGCCCAGGCATCCAGGCCTGCACTTGTCCCCCCCCCTTCCCCTAACCTGCGCCAAACCTTTGCATTCCGAATCCCCCCTCGGTGGCGCTTTTGGGACGCACGGAGCGCGGCGAGGTTGGCGAGGAAAGCACCCCAGAGCGTCACCACGACCGCCTCGGCCGCCGCCGCCCTCCTCCTCTGCGTTTCCCCTTTTTTTTCGCGCGGCGGACTGCGAATGGGAATGGTGTATTTTCCCTCTGATTAAAAAGTTTGCGAGGGTCCGGCGGTGAAGGTGTTGCGACCCGCGCCGCCCCGCGCGACCATGTCCTGTCCCGTGTCGAACCCGGAGATTCGCTGACGTCCCTCGCTGCTCGTCCGTTGAACGTTTTCGCGCGCAAAAGTGCCGAGCTGCTTAATTTTTGTCGACCAATCTGCCAAAGCGGGGGGAGGGGAGGGGGCTGTCACGGAAGGACGAGGCGGGGGGGCAGCGGAAAGCGAATATGAGATGGCAAAGGAGGGAGGGAGAGGGCAAAGCGATCGAGAGGGAGAGAAGACAGAGAGGGAAGAGCGTGTGATGGAGAAAGAGAGTTAATTAAAACCACGGCCACCGAGCGGAAACTGAACTGTCTGAGTTGGGCACGGCGCAGCCTTTCAACCATCGTGTGTCCAGTCGACGTGCGCTGTCGCGGCGCTTTCCAGACTTTCGCTGGAAGCGCGAATTGAACCGCTGCGCAACAAGCCGTTGGAACGGCGTCGGCGGCTTTCGCTCGAGACTGTCATCCGGCCCGTCTCGGCCCGGCTCGGCCCCGCGGGGGGCCGCCAGCGCCAGCCAACTCGCCGCGTCGCCTCCCCTTACAAATTTCAGGACAGAGGGCGGCGCCCACCAGACTCTTCCTCCCCAGTTTGACGCGTTTGTTAGTCGATTTCCGGGAGCGTCGACGTCGAAGCGAAGGGAAGGCACGGAAGGGAGGAGATGGCATGATTACAGGGCCGGCAGCGCCGGCAGCGCCAGCAGCGCCGGCAGCCAGGCAACAAACACCGCCTCGAGCGACCAGCAGCCAAGTCGCAATCCATTAGTGCGGCACGGCGTGGCACGGCGTGGCACGGCGTGGCACGGCGTGGCACGGCGTGGCTCGGCTCGCCACGGACCGGCTGCAACAATCACGCCCTCCAGCGCGCTCAGCCGCTCCAGCGCCGCGGGCAGGGCCGGCAGGGCCAGGGCAGCCACACGGCCACCACGCCACACGGCCACGCCCCGCGCGTCTAAACATAGCTGACCTATTGTGGGAACTGGGAACCGCAGCTTGGCCCGGTGGTGACCTTTGACCTTCCGTGCGGCTCCATCGCCCACACTGCCCAAAACGGCAAAGCGGCCGTCTCTCTCGCACCCATACGGCCATACGGCACGCCCCACGAGTCCGAGAGAGACAGAGCGGCCGCAGCGATGTGCGGAATCAGCCGCGCTGCGGATGCGCAAGCTGCGCAAGCGCAAGTTCCAAGGAAGCATCCGAGGGAGGCCGGCAGGCTGGTGCCGAACGAGGCTCTCGTCGCGCATCCGTCTCTCTCGCACTCGTGGGGCGCGGCGCCGCGGTGCGAGAGAGACAGAGCGGCGAAGCACCGTCCGGGATGAGACTGCAGGCCGAGCTGGCTGGCAGACGTGACGGCAAATAATTAGTGTCGGACCGCAGAGAACGCATGAGCGGCCCGAGCGGGCAGAGCGGAGCGGAGAGTCCGGACCGGACCGGAGTCCGACCGGAGTCCGACCGGAGTCCGACACAGCGAGACGACAGAGGAAAGGGGGCTGCAAAGTTTCCATGCCAGCGCGGCGAGGCCAGATCGATGCACGGGCATAAACAGACATAAATTGGCTGCTGATGTGTACTGAAGCGGCGCGGCGGCCGGCGCGCCGAGAGGGAGAAGGAGAGGGAGCCGCAGGAGAAGAAGAAGGAGAAGGAGAAGAAGAGGAAGAAGACGACGAGGAACGCCGCCCCAAAGTTCCCGCGCAAACTCCCCGCCAGACTTGCACACGTTTTCGTCTCTTTTCGCTATCGGTTCTGCTCCTTCTCCTCCTCGCCCTTCTGCGCTCGCCCGCGTGGAACGGAATAAATCGATAGAAAGCGGCCGATTTTTTTTTTCGGCGGCACGCGCCATTACCATTACCACGCACGCCCCTTAACTCACGTTCTGGTAGAGATAGCGGCAGAGGCGGCGGCCGCGGCGGTGCGTGAGGTCGATGAAGTTCGACACTTTTGCTCGACTACCCCCTTTTTTGACAATTTAAAAGTTTTGCCAATTAAAAGCGTCGCTGCTCTCACATGTGCGGCGCAGGGTGCTTCGGCCACATTGGAGCAAGGCAAGTGGCTGTTGGCTCATAGTTGGCTGCCGCGTCTGCCCACCGCCCTGTCCACCCGCCCCGGCCCCGGCAACAATGTCAACAAGCCCCAAGTCCAGGCCGGGCCGCGCCATTGCCTTTTAGGACGCGCCAGGACGCGAGTCGAAGAGGAGGACGGCGATCAGGTAGAGATACAGGTAGGAGTGCGAGTCGGTGGCGCGTGAGATGGAAGGTTCGTCACCTCACTGTACAATTTTTCATCCTCTTTTTGGCAGTGCTGTGGAAAGGATGACGACCGCTGAAGGAGCGGTGGCGTTGGACGCGGCGTTGTACGAGGCGCTGGACAGTGTGTCCGCGGCCCTGCAAGCACTGCCGCCCAGCCTGGAGGAGTCGGAGTCCGGCAGCCGAATGGCGGTGAAGCGGATTTATGGACGCGTGTCCAAGTTTGTTTCGCGTGTGGCGCGCGCCATCAAGAACGGTGAGTCCGAATTCCGACCGGAATTCCACGTAAAGAGCGAAAAAGCGGCGATACCGCGAAACAGAAAAAAAAAACAGGAAATAGGGTAGAAGGCCCTACGTTCATCAAATTTTTTTCACCATTTCCTGGAAAATGGTAGCGTTGCTTCCATTGACTGCGAATCGTGACTGTTCTCGTTCCCCGCTGCAGGAATCGGCCACTCACGGAGCACCCCGGCAGAAAGCCGAGAATCAGGAACATTGGGGGCCAGCGCATGGGAGAACCTCCCGTAAGAAGTTTCTTTCTACTGCATTTTTTTTTTCAAAAATCCTCTCTTTAGTCACTAACTCCTCAGCAATTTCGCAGATCCTGCAGCGTTCGTCCGGAAACCAAAGCAGATCTGAATGTAAGTGGTGGAGGGAATCTGTCTAGCGAATCGCAACGATGCGATGCCCAAAATTTGTGTCGGTCCGAACCTGATGAGCATTGGAACCCCCACACAGTTCGTGATGGATCGCCTGAACTGGGAGCTGCTACAGGAAGACATGCTGGCGACTAGTCAGGGGATCTCCGAATTTCTCGAAGCCTACCCCGACCTGTTCGGCAGCCTGACCCCTAGATGGGAACGGTTCTGCACCTCCCTCCAGTGCTTGAAGTGGCAGTCGTGATGCGGTGAAGCAGGCGAAGCACGCGAGGGACTCCGAATCCACCACCACCAGTTCTCCATTTGTAAGCCGGAAACATCCGTCCGGGATCTTATATTGCTAACCCAAGTGTTCTAAAAAAAATATCTTGTGTAATTACTTTTTGATTATTCGGGTGAAACTTCCCTGCAAAGAAAGAAATCGATATTGCCCGGTGCATGAAAGGCACGACCGCGCGTAAAAACTTTGCACCGGTTCTGCACTCCCGTTTTTGCTCATGTTTGCATTATCGGAATTGTGAAGCGAATTGTGCCAGGTCCGGGCCGATTGGCCGATGGCCGCTCGGTGGCGGTAGCGGTGCCACGCCCGCCACGCCCCGCCACGCCCCGCTAGTCAGCAATACAAAACGGCGACCATCGATCTCTGGCGACGCTCTTTGAATGTCAATGTGGCAGTGCCTTACTTTTTATTCCGATTTGGGAGTCAATTCGAGGCAATTTCTCCCACGCCGCTCGCGCCCCCAATATACAGATTTCGTTTTTCCCTTTTCGCCCCTTTTATTTGGAAAAGGCGGCGCGGCGAGACGATTATTTTTTTGCATAACGAACCGAACAGCTTTGGAGTGTTGGCTTAACCTTTGTTTTCCCTTTTCTTTCTCTCTTTTTTTTTGCCCCTCCTGAGCTTTGTGACGAGGCGAAACTTCTTTGGAAAGCGCGGCTCGCCTGTCTGGACTCTGGACGACGCCAACCCTTGGCACGCCTCGGCAATGAGTTCAGACAATTTGGATTCTTTTCCCGCTTTTATTTTACTTGGAAATAAGTTTTCAATTTCATCCGGGGCGCGTGACGAGGCCGGCCGGGTCAGAGAGTCATGGCGGCGAGGGTCATGGCGGGCCCGGCCGGCGGGGACGTGAAAACGGCCGCCATTTTCACTCTGGAGCGTTTGGCTGGCTAAGTGACTGCAGTCCCAATGCGGTACGCCCCGGCCGAGGCTAGGCCGAGGCCAGGCCGAGGGCAGGCGGCAGGCTCTGCCGATACCCAGCGCACTGGTTGCGTTGAGCCCCGGGCCCCGGCTCAGCCCACTGCGCCTCCGCCCCTCCGCAGGCCGCGCGGGTCCCCACGCTGCGCTGCGCCATGTACGCCGTGCTGCACACACGGCCCTGGCCACAGCAGCGCTCCACTGGGAGAGGGAGGGAAACGACCTCCGCCCTTCGCAAAGGGAAGGGGGAACACCCAGGGCGTCAACGTCACCATTACCGCCGCAGCTCACACGGCTGCTGTTTGTGCCCCGCCGGCCGGCCCAGTCGCCCTCTCTCTCTCGCACCTACACAGGACGCCCCATGAGTGCGAGAGAGACAGAGCGACGAAAGCGACTCTCGGAATCAGCCTGCGGCTCCAGCCGCTCCCGCCTCCGCGGGGCCTCGTTAGCCTGGCCGTTTGGACGGTGAGCACTGGAGCCGCTCCAGTCCGGCACAACCACCACGGGGACGGGGACGGGGACCCGCCCGCCGTCCAGCGTTGCCACGCCACGCCTCATCGGAAAGTCCTGCTCGCCCCCCGGAGAGCCTGGACAGCCGGGAGAGCCTGGAGAGCGGAGAGCCTGGAGAGCCGGGAGAGCCTGGAGAACGCCGCCATCCCGACGCGCTGCTTCGACGGCAGGACGGAAAGCCCCCCTCCAATGATAAAGAAGAAAACGGTCCAATTTTGGTGGCCAAACTTTTCCTATCGGGGTGCTTTTGCCTGTCGCGGTTCCGCCGCGGGGGTCGCAGTCGTGTCGCGGTCCGGCCGCCGCGCCGCGCGGTTCCGCGTTCCGCCCATTGGTGGCATAGTGGCGCTCCACGCCTCCGCGTTCCAGGCCGCTTCCAGCTCGTTCCAGCTGCCGCCTTTTCGGGCTCGCCCCTTCCAGCCCTCACGGCCTGCAGCGACTGGATAAGGCCAGCAGCGCAGCAGTGGCCTTTTGTGCTCGGAAAACACTTTCCACGAACACTCTAAAACAAACGCCGGCCTCCTCCCCGCCACGCCGCGCTGCAGATCAAAAGGAACGCTCCCCCCCCCTTTCCCCCTCGGGGGTCCTGGATCGGATCCCCTAAACTTGGCCGCCCTGCTGAAGGCCCTGCTTGCCGCTCGCCGCAACCGAACCCCCAGAATAAAAGGGAAGGATACACCGGCACGCCGCGGCGGCACGTCCTGCGAGGAGGGAGTGGCGCACCTGTGCGGCCCCGCCGCAGCCGCCCCGCCCGGCCCTGCCGCCCGCTGTCCGGGAGTTTGTGTCCGGGACCTGCGTCCAGCGTGACGGCCAGGCACGTGGATCGGCGGGCCTGCTGAGAAACCAAGGAGCCCGCTCCGCGAATTGCGAGGCGAGTGCCCCTCCTGCCTCGCTATTGCGTTGCTCGCGTTGCTTCGCTGTATGAGAAATTGCTTTGTCAGGCTGCGGATGCTGCGGATTCTTCCGCACTGAACGGCGCGTCAGCAGCGGGCTGCATTGATGGCCAGTCTTCCTCGCGTCCCTCGTCATCCAGAAACTCGGCGGTGGAAAGCGAACCTCCGTGTTTTGCTTGTAGCAAGAACACTCCACCGCGCCGCCAGCTGCCAGGCTGCTCGCGTTTCCAGTTGCAACGGAAGCTGCAATTCCACGTCGAGGGGCCGGGCGGCACGGCCGGGCGGAGAGGGGCGAGAGGGGTAAGCTGGGCAGAGCTGAGAGGCGAGGCCCCGGAAATGAACGAGTAATAACAGGAGATGGGACAGCAACGCACGGGCTGTCGCCACCTGACCCTGTCCCGCCTGTCCGCCTGTCTGCCAGCACCCCTCCCGCTGTGCACGGCGCACGCGTGTGTGCCAACGCCACGCCGGCCATCACGTTGCCGATGTGGAAAAAAAAAACTGCAGCGTCCGCTCTTTTACTGCACATTTTGTGACCTGGATACGAATCTGCCATCTGATCATTTTAACTGTTCTGTTTTTTTTTTAAGACAGTCGTTGAAACAGAGCGCCAACGTCCAGAAACTGAGTTTTTGATTTTCTGCTGCCGACGACGCCACGCCCCGCTCGTCGCCGTGCTCGTCGCCCTCCTCGCGCCTTATGGTGGCGCCGCGTCGCCGTGCCGCCCTGATGAAGGGAGTGTCGGCGCGCGTTCGGGCGTTCATTTAGTTCCATTAAGTTGGTGCTCCGGACAGCTGTGTCTCCGGCCGGAGCAGGGCGACTCACACGTGGTGCCGCCGAGGGTGCCGCCCTGCGGCCCACTCCGTCGCTCCGTCTCTCTCGCACCTGCGCGGCGTGCGAGCGGCGTGCCCCTCGAGTGCGAGAGAGACGGAGCCGCCGAGTGTGCCTAGAGTGTGCCGTGCAGCTCCTCGGCGTCGTCGAGTAGTCCGCCGAGCTGCCGGGCACTGCGGGGCACCGCGGGGCCGCCCGGAAGGATCAATGTCCATTTCAGCGCCACCGGTCCCACACCGTAAGTGCGACGGAGAGAATGTGCTCCTGTGCCGTCCTTTCTGTCTCCGTCGCACTCGTGGGACCCTCCCACTACATAACGCTCCGCGCAATCCGCTGAGGCTGTGCGCCACGCCACTGTGAGCCGCCAGGCCGCCACGCCACTGTGGCGCTGCTCTGCGTTTTCCTCTTCCAGCGGGAAAGAGAGAGACGGAAGGCGCCCACGTGCGGCGGGCGGCAGGGGGTCGGAGAGAGAGGGGAGATGGGGGCGAAACTGGCACGACGCCGGCCAAACTGAATTAATTACGGAACTGTAATGAATTTATGACCGTCCGCCCGCAATATAACGCTCGCGATGCTCGGTCCCACTTCCACTCGGTCCCGCGCTCGGTCCCACTCGGCTTGCGCGGATGGAGCCGCCGAGTGGCGCAAGCGCGCCGAGAGCCACTCCGAGTCACACACCGTGACGCTGCGGCCGCGGTCGCGTGGCGGCGAGACGGGCCGGTCCAGGCTGTTCAGAGAGGGTCAGCATCGACTCGGCCGAATCAGAACAGCGAACAGCCTCCCAACGGGGCGCAAAGCCCAGCCCGGCCGGACGGCGGGCGTCCGACGGCGTCCTCGCCAAGGGCAAACGTCAGTCCGGGCGTGGCGGGGCGGGGCGGGGCGGGGCGGGGCGGGGCGGGGCGGGCTGTCCGTGGGGACGCCGACGCCGTGTCCCCCTTGGTCCTCCTGCAGCGCGTCGGCCCGTCGGCCCGTCCCCAACTAGTTAGAATTACAATGTGGGACAAGGAACAAGGACGGAGCGCACTTCGAGGACAGTTTGTTGCGGACGTGGATGGCACGCGTGTGGGCCACCCGGCCGCCGTGGGGACAGATTCCCGCCGCGTTGTTTCCTCGCGCTGTCTCTCTCGCACTAGCGCGGGGCGTCCTGTGAGCGCGAGAGAGACAGAGCGTGGAAAGCGACGTCCGGAATCAGTCCCCACTTCCCTCGCATCCACGTGCATTTCCATCCCCTCCCCAGACCCAGAGTCCCCGTCCCCGTCCAGCCCACCCTGCAGCAGGCTGCCTCCGAGCGCTGCTTTTGTGGCTGTCTCTCTCGCACCGTGACGGGACGCCCCATGAGTGCGAGAGAGACAGAGCGACGAGAGCAGTGCTCGGAATCAGCCCGCTGGTGCGGCCCCTAAACAAGCCTCGGGGAGGCGAGGCGTTCTGTAGTATCGGGCCCGAGTCGCCCTGTGGGGCCGCCCTGCCCTGCCCTGCCCTGCCCTGCCCTGCCCTGCCCTGCCCTGCCCTGCCCTGCCCTGCCCTGCCCTGCCCTGCCCTGCCCTGCCCTGCCCTGCCCTGCCCTGCCCCGCCCTGCCCTGCCCTGCCCTGCCCTGCCCTGCCCTGCCCTGCCCTGCCCTGCCCTGCCCTGCCCTGCCCTGCCCTGCCCTGCCCTGCCCTGCCCTGCCCTGCCCTGCCCTGCCCTGCCCTGCCCTGCCCTGCCCTGCCCTGCCCTGCCCTGCCCTGCCCGGAAAGGATTGGAACGGACCCGCTCATTATTGGTGGATATCGGGGCCGGTTACCTTCAATTATGTCGCCCCGCCCCTCGCTCGCATCGGCCGCCACCG